ATTCTCTTTTTGTAACGACCAACGTTTAGTCCTTTCACATGGATGTCGTCGAAATTCCTTTGAGACATAGTCTGGAAACTTTTGTTCTCAAATCACAGTTGATGCCAATACTTTAACAAACTCATCATCTGAATTGTAATGACATGAAGAAAATTATATTGTATACTGTTACGTTATGCGAATCACTTTTTAATTTTGACACCATTTTATTGCGAATTGACTTTTATATTTTGACAAATTATAAATAATATCTTATAGTATAGAATAATTGACAAACATGCGAAAAGTTGTGCTCTAGCACTTAGTTTCATTTATAATATATTAGTGAATTAAATTATAAATTTTTGTATACTGAAGATGGTCACATTAATGACCGAAACGTTTATTATAATTATGTAAATTTAGTAGTATTAAATATACGAAATCTTCGCTACTTTTAACCAGCGTGTGGTATATGCTCCTTCTTCTTATTTTTATTTTTCCTTAAAAGGATTACTTAGATTTAATTCTGGTAAAATGTATAGTTAAATAAATAAATTTTTTTAACTATGCATTAGTTTTAGAATATCCAATTATAAAATGTAATAAAAATCTAAAAATACTTTAACTTAAAATAATTTGACTAAGAATCAGCACGTGATGGCAAAAATGTCTCAATTTCAAATGTGTATTTTGTTATACAAACGTTTCTGATATTTGGATTATTACACATTTGAGTTTCACATTTATTTCTGGAATGAATACTTTGTTCCTTCTCTTCCTTAATTCTGACTTCGATTTGATGCCGAGGAAAGATTACTTGTGGCGTGTGTATCGTAAACGACATCGACGTAATTTTAGGGGGTCAGACGGGAAAAATATGTACTATATTCAAAAGAAGATTTGCACGTTGGGGGGTCCGACGTGACTTTCGATTCTTATTTACTGCAGTAAGCGTCGCGGCGTCGAGGGAGACATAAAGCAGGCGAACATCGGAAAGAGCACGGCGAACCAGGTCGGTGCCCATTGTCGTATAATACTTCGACCTTAAAGCGGCATTAGAGTTAGTAACATTGGTGGTCACCGTCGTAATTTACATCCCGAAAGCTACCGAGACATCTAGCGTCGCTCTGCTCGAGACGTAAATCCTATTTCGCGTGGCAGGTAACACAGAGTGAGATTATTACGGTTCGAGCATGATTTCTCACGCTCATAAAAAATATAGTGGGCAGTAATGTATGAGTACACGCGGTCGATGAGCCGATGAACGCATTTGACAATCTCGACAACTTCGGCGGCGAAATTTAATGATCGTTCTCAAGTTTCATGAGAAAAAAGAGAACAACTAGAATGTTACAAACTTTAGTTTCCAGATTATGAATATTATTATGCTAAAAAAGATTTAAAAAATAGGAAGCTTTGTAAAGTTTGAGAGGATAGAAAAGTCGGGCGAAAATTTTTTGCTGGTCGAGAATAAAATTTCCTTTCGACGAGCAAGATCTGTGTAAATGACCGCGGCCTCGTGGTAATTAAACGACTGTGGAGTCACACGGGAGCCGAATGTCGTTGTTTCGTGCGCGTGTAGTTCTGTTTTATGGCCCCGCGTAACTTGCAGCTCGCAAATAATGCAATGTTGAATTTTCCGTGAAAACGCAACTTGTCGCGGCTCATGTGACCCGGATCGAACGGACGCATAAAAGCAGGGACTTTATTTACAACTCCACATAGCATGCAGCATCACAAGGGATGCATAAACCTTACGTTAAAGATCGATGTTTGAGATAAAAAAGGAAAAGCATTTCTGTTTCCGTTCTATTCTATTGTTCATCTCGCAAAAAGTGAGCTTATCATAATAAACTGATATGTAGAATAAAAGACAAAATTTTTAATAATAAACTCTACAACTATATATTTTTGGTGATATATATAATATCGCAAAGATTGACAGTGAGTGCATTTTTTTAATCTTTGATACAATAATATATTATCGTAAAAAAGTCGTGGAATTTAGGTTCAAAAATTGCAAAAATAAACAATGAGTTCGTAGTAGTAATGTACGTAAAATAACAAATAAAAATTATGGAAGCGTACTGTTTTAAATTTTTATCAAGTACCAAGCTAGATGTACCAAATGTATTCTTTGGCATGAATAAATGATGCAGTAAATTTCTTTCGAAAACGTACAATGCCAGACAAAATCAGCGAAATTGGAAAACGAAGTTAGAACAATTTAAAGAATTGTCTTTACAATAATTGATTAAGAAGACTAAATTGTAAAAGTTGACTTCTGTATACTTTCTGATAAGAGGTGCTACTCTCCTCTGTTTCTCTCTGTAAAAACAGAACTCCTCTTTTGCTGTAAAGTTTCTTTTTCATGCGCGTTGGAAAATAAGCGGTGGCTTTGGGGTACTTTCGAAATTACCAAAAAGAACTTCCGGGCGTCCAGATTTCAGGTTATTTCGGCTCTCGGTTAAGCCGATCAACCGTGGAATTGGTTTGCCTCTAAGAGTGGATCGTGATACGAAGTACAATGAGTTTCAAGTAAAAAAAACCGGATGTTCGATGAAGGAGCGGCTTGTACACGGAGAAACTTCTTGAGAGCGAGGGTAAGAGGAGGCGCGACAAGAACGATGGCGAGAGAAAACGAAACATCCCTTAGAATCTTGATCTTGAATGAGAAAGTGCAATCTTCTATCTTCAATGAATCGTGTGCATTGGTGCAAGGAACATAATAACGAAAATTGAAGCACTTTATATAGTGAATCAATATTTTAGTGGCGAATAATTTATCTCTTAAAATACTGTTTTAATTAAATTAATTAAATAAAAAGAGAGAGAGAGAGTAGTTAATTCTGTCTATAATTTAAAATGAAATCTCTCAGAATGATGTAACATGTATAAAGATTGTTACTTTTATTTCAAATTAATCAATGTCATCCTTATAAAGTACCGTAATCTGTTATTAACCATATAATTTATATACATATAACATGAAAAACTATCAGAATATATTAGCTTTTATTATTACTTTTTATTTCTATTCGTAATTAAATTTGATTACAATGCTCTTTATTATATCGTTAATTTTTCGCGTGATCGATTCATTATTAGTCTGTTATTCTTCTCATTGAGTTCCTGATCGCGATAAATTAATTATTCTCAAGACAGGTTCTTACGTTCTCCCTCGTAATTTATACTCACCAGGAGGTGTCACACGCATGTGTCAGAGTAAGATATCGCGCGCCCAGACCGTAAAATGTCCTGAGGACACCCAAGGAATTCCCCAAGGAATGGCCACCTTCTACTCCGATTAGACTTGCGATCTTGCCTTCTCTATGTGCCTCGATGAGACCTACACATACGTGATATATTATGATTTAACAAAAAAAAACTTTTGATGTGTATGTGTGTGTGTCATATTCTTTATCTTCTTAAAATTACAGAAAGTTTCATCACGTTTTAGCGATTTAACGTTGTAAACATGAAACTAAAAACTGTAGTAGTACTATCCACGATGAACTTGCCAAACTCAGAATATTTAAACCTCGGGAAACACCCAAGTAGGTACGCGGAGTTATTTGAGGCTCATCTTGCCGCGGAACTTCGAATCATCTTCGGTGAACTTTGCTCTCGGCCGAATTACAGCTTCTTCCGTGAATCAGCGAAGTTTCATCCGTTTTTTCCTCGTGCCCGCTCCGTCGGCGCGAGTCTTATAATTTTTCTCTTTTTTTTTTCCCGAGCGAGATTAAAGTGACACTTTATGAGATTAAGCGGGGCCTCGGGATCGTGGAATTATGGTGTTCATAGATTATTTACGACCTTCGTCGGGTGAAGAGATCGGACGGAATCTCGGAAAGTCGGTCGCGCTTTAGGCGGGTCGGGAATGAATGAAAAGATCGGTAAAAATCGGCTTTCAGATCCGCTTTAGGAAGTGCTTTTAGGAGTGCTGTCGATCGCCTCATTGAAACTTTCAGACTACATCGAGACAGCGCGGTGGGATATTAAAGCCCTCTGATTTATCGTACTTTATATCGAATATGTCGATTCGCGCGAGTTATTTATTTAACTGCATATCCTAGATTTAAAATCCGCTTTGCTGCAATATTAAAAGTATATACAATTTATATCTATAGAGTATCCTGTAAAGACGTAACAACGCTTGAGGGTAGAGATTCTTCAGATTATTTTAATACTAAAGTTCTAATACTCTCTAAAATGTTGAAGCTATAATAGTTATTGAATTATAAGCATTTAAAGTTAATGAATCATACTGCTTAAGCGCGTTCAGATATGATACCTACAATGCAAAGCGGAAGTTAATTTTGTCGCCTCTCTCTCTCTCTCTCTATTTTTAATATCAATAAAGATTTCATATAAATAAAATTATTGATATTTTCAATGATTGATATTTATTATATTAAAAAATTATATTATATCCTCGATATTTTGGTATTAGAATTTTCATCTCAAAATGATCTCTGCAAGAATCTTCTCTTAGGAGTTAGGGTCTTTACGGAATATTCTCTGTAACCTAAGGATTAATGATGATGTGTGTGTGTGTGGATTCGTCAGATTTATAAACTTTTATCATCCTGTTGCTTTTCATTTTTTGTTAATAAAAATTCTTACAACGCACACTTTTTTTGCTGCTACACCTACATTATTTACGATATTTTGTTTATTTCTTTGCGCAAACTATTGATTATTAGTGCTGGTCATTATAATTAAAATTTAATCGAATTTGTAGATCGCGTGATGTCTATAAATTTTTATATAAAATAAATCCGAGGATATAGGATTATAATTAAAAAACATTGAATAATTACAAAGAAAAACTGTAATAATAAATTGATATTAACCTAAAGTTTTTACGCGCTCGCTTGGTTCATCCTTTTATCATGCCATACTACGATAAGCTAAAGCGTTTTATAGCATTTAATAGGATTTAATACCTTTTATCTTGATACAAGAAAGCCGCATATTCTCTTTAGAGAAACGCGCCACTGATCTCGAAAATTAAAAAGCTGTAATCTTCTCTTGTAACTGTTCCCTACCTTTACTGCTTTGAACGAAGCTCGCTTGGAAGCAGCTTGGCTTTTTCCAAAAAATAAAACGAAATGAATATGTCCCTTACTTTAATAATGTCCCCGTTTTAATTAATTGATACTGTATTTTATATAGTCAGCTTATTATTATACAATGCCTTAACATTTAAAATCTATCTAGTATTCAATACAATGTATTATCTTAGAATAATTTCACGAATTGTACGAAGATGATGTTAAAACATAATTTACTATTGAAAAAAATAAATTTAGGACTATATATATTAAAAGCATTACTGCAAATAATTTAAGTATATTTACGAATAATTAATTATATAAAATAAATTAATTATTGTAACATTATTATAAATAATTAATTTATATTATTATCAACGATTTTATTTTTCGATTCTATTAATTGCATAATTCATTATTTGTTTTATTACAGTTTTTTTTTCTTTATGTAGGGCTAGAAGAAACCAGAATGCATTATGAAATATTCTGCTAGTTATCAACCGACGCGACAGCGTCGCGATGCCAAGTATAAAATAAAAATATAACCGCTTGATTGACATGATCGCTTGACGTATGAACGTCATCGTGTATATGATCATGTCGCTGCCAAATTCCCGACGCTACTGCTAACTTTATCTGGAGTTCTGACATCGATAAACTTTAGATTAAAATTACTTAGAAATGAAAACCATAATTCGAAAATCTAAAAACACTTTTATTATTTAATGTCATCGATATGTTTTGATTGCGACCAGTCCGAATAATATTGGTGCAGCCGATACCGAGATCTAGAGACCGAGTCCTGAAAAGGAACCATTTCAAGATTTTTTTCAGTCGTACATGTGACACATATTGTCCATTAAGCTGCTGATCAAAGCTTTTTGAAATTTTGACCAAAAATTTTTTTCTAAGTCCCACGCTGGAAAATTTTTTGGGAGTACCGAGTAGTTCTGTTCGGAGTTCTGGACAGTTCTCGGCGAGTTCTGTCGAAAAGTATCATGGTTCAAAGCGATTGGACCAACGGTTTCTGAGATATACTCTAAAAACTGTTGATCTTCTGACAAATGTCGCTGTATCTTGCAAACCGTTGGTCCAATCGCTTTTTTACCTTACAGTTTTCGATAGAACTCGTCGAGTACTATAAGAAACGCAACTCAGAACTACTCGGTACTCTCAAAAAAATTTTCAAAGATATCTACTATTTTTTTAAAACTTTATCATATTTCAAAAATGTTTTTTATATATCAAGAACTCTAGGTATTCACAAAATACTTCTGTTAAGCTGATCAAAACTATGCGACCTTGAATTTCGTTAAAAAGTTAGCACCCCATTTTTAAAAAATTATTAAAAAATGATTATTAAGCGCATATGTCATTAAAAATCATAGAGAACTCTTCGTATCGTCAAAAAGAAGCAGGAATTATCATCAGAACTATTGTATCTAAAAATTAATTTTTCAAAAAAATTTTTTTTTATTATTCGAAAATTTTGTTTACATATTAGGAACTCTATGCAATCGCAAATTGAAGCTATTAAGCCGCTCAGAACTATTCGACCTCGAAATTCGATAAAAAGTTAGCACCCCATTTTTAAAAAATGTAAAAAAAATGTTTATTGAGCGGAACTCTTGTTATTAACTATAGGGAACTCTTCGTCTCGTCAAAAGGAAGTGGGAACTCTAATCAGAACTCCTGAGTATAGTTGGGGTGCTAACTTAACATACCCGAGAAATATTATTTAGATATATTAGAGAAACGTTATATGTAACAAATTTACAAGTTTAGTAAGCGATTGTTAACATCTCTTCTTTGTTGAATTATTGTTTCATATATTATGTATATTAGCAGAATGTTGCGATAGAACCATATTGGTTCTAGAATATTGCGTTTTAATGCAACCCGGGGCACGCCAAGTTTTTTCTACACTATAATCCAGTTGACAATTTTAGCCACTTCGGTCTATCTTATCTGTTTTACGTAATGAAATACTTGGTTAATTACATTTATTTCATGTCCGTTTTTGATTAAGAAGAATTCAATACCTTTTTTATGCACTTGGCGTATATTTTTTCTTTTTTAAAAAGGTTTTTTAAGAGTTTAACTTTAATCGTATTCGCAGATTCACTGGACTCAGATATTTTCTCCAACCGTTTTGAAAAATTGTTTAAATGTTTTTCACAACTTTACACAGTTTTAAGTATTATATAATCGTATTCTTCGAATTTTGATTCCTAAAATAAAAAGAAAATCGTTTAATTACATAATTTTAAAGATATATTAATTCAGAGTGCATTGAATATTGATTAAGAAAATTTCGGAGCGAATAGTGATTGGAGTTAATTAATAGTGTTTTCTTGGTTCGTCAAATTCAACGCGATATATTTCGAAATCACAGTTTTTTGTCTGTTCCAGACACTGTTGTGGGACAGGTTCGCGTGCATGAGCCGCTGGCTTTTCCACCTTTTACCTTCTTCATGCTGCGACCTCGTTTCCACTTCCCACTTGGCGAAGTTTCTCGAGCTTATGAAAATGGCTGACAGCTTTCCGGACCGAGTTACTCGCGGTAAGTTCCATTGCGAGGTTTTCGTTGCGAAGCCGTGCCAGTCCCATTTCTTCACTTGTTCTTCATAAACCCTTTTATATTTCAACGGCGTGCGTAACTTGATTTCGCATATGTATCTAATCAACTGTCTGTTTGCATAAGCGTATTCGTTGGGAAATAATCGAATTTCTCGCTATCGGAAGATCAACTGTAGCTTACCAACCGTAAAAATTATTTAGTTTTTAACATGAGATATTTTAACGAAAGTTTAAACTAAAATTACATGAAGATAAGGTTTTCTTGTAATATAAAAAGATCACCTACCGTCTGAATTAAATTGAGCTCCTTTCGTTGTACGATGTATTTACATTGCTCGAACTATTCGCTAATTATCGTTTGTTAACTTTTAATCGTTTTTCGATTATTTAAACAGCAATGTTTGCAGAAGTTCACATAAAATACTATATTCTTATCTCTTTCTCGCAACCTCGATTCGATTTCAACGAGCTTATGAAAATGGCAGTCGGGTTTCTGAAGTGAGTTACTTGTTGCAAAAACTTTCACAAGCTTTCGTATATCCTTTCCACTATCTTCTCCTGCTTGACATTTTCTTTTCTTTCAGGCTATGCGCGCAGTTTGTCCTTTATTTTAGTATCGGCGTTGCCTCGGCATATTTTCTCTTTTTTTTCTAGTATATTATAAAAGTAGCTATTGCATATCGATGAAATTTATTCTCCATTAGTCGATTTCACCGACGTTTTGTAAATTTTTGTTAACAGACGATAAATTGACCCATCAATTTTTAACTTAAATGAGTTTTTGTTAAAAATATAGGTGGCTCAACCAGTCATCAGCACTAATGGACGTTCGTAAAATAAAAAAATTTGCATTCAACATACGTAATCTTTTTAACCTTTACTATATTGAGATAAACTTTTGATATATTTAATGGTTTATAACAATGTTTCTAAAAATATGAAATACTATATGACTTTATAGCTATATACATTATTTTCTTCTAAATTTATATAAAATATTTCAAATGTGCTTGCAATGTAAATGTAACGATAATTAATTATTACAATAAGCAATCAAATATCCATAACATTAAAATGATAACAAATTAGTTGGTATTTAAACAGAACACAAGTCATCATGACATTAAAATGGTTTTAAAATGATTATTAAAAGTTACTTTTCGATCAGTCACGATTCATTTTAATGTTACTTTGACGATATCGTGACTTGTTGTTTTACTTGAGAATTAGCTCAGATCAGTTTGAACCGCGAATTAAATGATAAAGATCCGTCATAGATCCGACAGATATTATTTATCCTAATCTTAATATTCTTATTATGTCGAATGTTGTCTTCGGTATCTGGTGAATTAGCAAAGACTTTTCTTCGATTATGGCATGGGCGATAGCATAATATTGTACTTTTGTCTACTGCTGATAAATCTTCCACAATACCTAAGTTACGCCATCGAATCGAATCCAATAACGACTTTCCTCTTCAACTTCAGAGAAGTCGAGCAATTAATAGTGGTCCTTTATCCTCTCGAATCGTCCCGATGAGAAAGTTTCTCTGAGACCGTCGCTTTCATATCTATTGCTACTACCGGTTAGCGTGTTACATTTAATAACATAATACGGCGGTCACGAGAATTCTTTCAGTTACAAAAGTTTAAATAAACTGAATTACTTCTGATGACACAACGGAGATTCTTTCGTTCGATAATACTTGAGAGATTCATATTCATTGTATATGCTTTGGGGGGTATTGTTAACATTTTTTATACTTAACTCAACAATCTTTCACTTTTCGTTTGCGTTTGCTTGACTCATATTGATCGTATATTATTAAATAATATATTTGTTCGTAACATTTTCATTTATTAATTCATTGAGAAAAATGGTTTGGTTGAAAATGGAAAAGCCAGAAAATTCTGATTAATATATTGTTATTGAATGCAGTTATAAAATGTTAATTTAATAATAGAACTAAACACTGTTATTAAACTTTATTAATACAAGATAATCTTTTTTTACATAAGATTAGATATATGCAATATTAATGTGCATATACTCACCTTTGACGGAGGTAACCAGGGTTAAATGTTGAGCATTCATTTCGGCGAGTCGACGAATTACATCGATCTGTTCCAATGAGAGTTGAACTGCATTTAACTGAGCGGCACCGCAAGGAACGTAGGCGGACCAAAACTGAAAAAAAAAAAGAAACATCACATTATTGTTATTTAGAAATAAATTATTAGATATTTATAGAAATAGCTAGTGACTGTATTTAAAAATCAAATATTGATCTCTATGAGATACAATTTAACAAATGTTTTAAATCGAACAAAATTTTTTTAATTAAAAGACGCTAACTTCTCCTTACATTTTATATTAATCATTTTCGCTGTTCATAAAACCGTTTGATTGAAAATACCGGAAGAAAAAGTAAGTGAAAGAAAAAGGAAAGAACAACTGGTAAGCTCAATAGTTTTGACGCATTTTCAAGTAGGAAATTTTATTCAATTTATAAATACATTTTTAGAAGCTACATACAATAAAATATCGTAGAGGATCTTGAATAAAGCATTATTAATAGTACGTCACATGTATTTTTTCGCGTGTTCTGATATCGCGTGACTCCGTATTACAGTATCGTAATACAGTCACGCTCAATTACTCACAATGCTTTACGATTGTTGGAGCAATAAATGTTTCATTAACTCTTTACGTTAAAGGATATGGGTTTTATTTCCACACTAAACAGTTATTTTACCGTGAAAAAAGTTATTTGAGGCTTTTAGCGATAAAAGGAGTTTCACGTTACTTTTTTGATTACGTTATTCCATGAATTGACGATACTTTTACAATATTTATACTATTTACCCAATTACTTCACGTCATTAAAAATACGGTATTTTGTTAGAAAAAAATAAAACATTTTGACACTTTCAAGATTTATTTAACTAAGAGAGATTTTAATTGTTATAATTATATTATATATATGTTATAAGTAGTCTCTTTTATATTTTTCATTTATCATGGTAGTAATAGTAATAACATTAAAAACGATAGTTATATATCGATTCTTAAACATCGTCTAGATTTCAAGAATTCTTCTTTAACTCTTGTGTCAGATTGTCAGTCCTTAGTTCAGTCAGCTTTAATGAGACTGCTCAACTTCCACTTTCAGATTCCAGGTTTAATGTAGCCCTAAAATCTATCTTTCTTTAGATCGTTAGACCTAATATAGATCCAATGCGGAAATAGACATGTTTATTTTTGCTACAATATAGATCTAGGATTTGTATCTTTCTTCACACATCCTATAAAGGCTTGGACGTAACATAGCCGTAAGATCTGCATCTTTTTAACCGTGATTATTTGATCAATTTCTTCTAAAAATGAGATGTATGTAGAATGACGGTCAGAATTAGGAGTATTAGGACACTGATTATATAAGATCGTTTTTACTTACAGATTCGCGTTATTATTTATTTACAATATGTACATAACAAAAAATACTCACACAAAAGTTTAACATATCCGAAAATTGATGAAAGAACAATCCGTGTGAAGCTGGCCCCCCAATATTAAAAAATCGATTTTTTTCTTCATGCATTCGTTTGCTCATCGTTTGCTCACGAATGCTCAGTTGCAATTTTCGTTTGCTCACCCTCAGTTCAAAAGATATACGAGAATTATGTTTAGGGGGTCAACTTCACACTAGCCCCCCAATATTAAAAAATCGATTTTTTTCTTCATGCATTCGTTTGCTCATCGTTTGCTCACGAATGCTCAGTTGCAATTTCCGTTTGCTCACCCTTAGTTCAAAAGATATACGAGAATTATGTTTAGGGGGTCAACTTCACACTAGCCCCCCAATATTAAAAAATCGATTTTTTAATATTGGGGGGCCAGCTTCACACGGGTGAAAGAAATAGTATTGCGGTGCTAAAATTAGGATAAGTATTAATTTGAGTATTAAGTAAATTTTTCCAATTTTTTGCGTTTTTAAAATCACACGTTGGTTTTAAAATTTCGTTTGTACAGCACGAAATGATCTAATTTGCACGCGCTAATCTAATTTACGCGTAAATGCTCAGCGTTGAGTTAAATGTTCGCGGCGAATGTTAAACTCCTCGAATCGGTCGAGCATTTGATGTCTGTTGTTGAGTAATCGAACATCAATATCAGGGAAGAGATACGCAACACGCAGTACAGCTAGTTGCAAGAGAGTACAGCATTCGGCCCGAATTTCACTGCGCTCTCTCGTAGAGGCTTTGAGAGAGCTAGCGTTACCAATTACTCGGCGGTCTAATTAGCACCGAGTTACCGCGCGCTGGCGTAAATATTGAATTTCAGTTCTGGTCCTAAGTTCTCTAGTATAACGCTATTGGCATCCCCGATTCTCGCCGCTGTTGGTCCTCTTCCGACGTTAACATTATTATACTAATCACATGATGATATGGGTAGAATAACTTGCGTTCGGGATAGCGACGAGTAAAAGAAAGACGGAAATGCGGATAGTTGGGGAGATAACGAGAGAGACGAGACGTGAGACAAATGGTCACGGAAGCTCGTGCATAGACACACACACACACACACACACACACACACACACACACATAAACACAACTAAAACGAATTCCCTTTCGACAGGGGAAAACGAAGCCTCGCCTCGGCGTGTAACATTTCTCGAACGGCCTTTGAACGCTCGCATCCGTTGCCGATAGTATATAAACGCTTTTCACATATGTACCCTTCCGCTTGACGTTACGAGTAGAGAGATGCGTTTATATTTTGATTCTCGCTGTTATTCCAACTGTAATCATATTTTGAAGATATTATTTATTCTCACGAGAGTTACATTTTCTCACAGAAATTTAATACTGGAAGGTAATTATTAATTATTTTGAGTATTAAAGCACTGTTGTTTAATGCTTTTAATTTCAAAATAAGTAATTCCTGGTATTAAATTGATCATATTAACCTTTAGAGGATGGGAGTCCGTTTCTAAAATCTCAGTTTTTTTTTTAGTAGGATTTGTTATAATTTATTATTTCATTGCATTTAATTTTTGTCTCAAAATATGACTGCTTCAGCGCCACTAGGATGGCTTTTCTGTTAAATAAGTATAAATATGTTTTAAAGATATATGTAAATTGAGGAATAAGATGCTTAGAACACTTAATTTTTTAAATTTTATAATTATATTTACTAGTTTGTTATGTTTTAAATTTACATTATTTATATCCTTATGATATAGAGGAATACAAAAATAATGACTTTTCAGACTTCTGAACATCTGGGCTGTTCATTTCCCTATGTTCTATAGAACAAGATTTTGAAGAAAACCTAGAACGCGCGATGGACAAATTGGATTTCTAAAGGGTTATTCTTGTTACAATTAATTGCTAGATTATGACGATCGTCAACAAATTCTCGACGTTCGTAGGGATTCGCGGACCTAAACTCGTATGATTTATTGCTCTCGGTGGGTATTATACGGGCTATGCGAATTCAAATAATTTATAGTATTTTGCGCGTAATTTACACGGAGTGCGGATGCGCGTGACACGCGTGTAGACATCTTTCCGGTACATCGCGCGACAGATGCGCGCGATAGAGGGTTATTCGTCACGGCAAAATAGACGCGGGGATGCTAATAATCTGACGCCGCTAGCTAACTGATGTAGTTTAGCGTTGCGAAACACAGCGAGCGTAGAACGGATCTGACGTTTCCCTATCTTCCGAACGACCCCCACCGCAGTAGTCCGTGCGGACGATCGCATGGTGAATCGCAGTTAATAATGATATTGCGAGGGGGGTACGCGCAGCAGATAAAGCCATCCGACCGGAAAGCTACGTGCCTTCTTGCAGAAGGAAAGCAGATAACACTGACGAGGCTGTGCGGGGGTTCAAAACACGCGACGGCTGCCAACGGAATATCCGCTCGATAGCGGTGCAACGTTTCGAGAAATCCGGGGCGGAAACGTATTTATCGAAGAAAACGTATCTTGAGAGCGTCAGCGTGAACTTTGGATGAAGGATAAACAACGGTGTGGATCAAATAGAAGATGTTCCGCTGTCACTTTGCGGAACAGCGTCAAATCTTACAGATACGATTGCGTTAATGAACACCGAAGATATGCGAATTTATATAGGTGCAACTGGAAAGAACATAATGATGCATCCCTAAATATTTGTGGTGTCACACTCTATCGACTTGTATAACATAAAGAGTCAACTGAATGCTACGTCATTTACGGAAACATCTTTATCCTAAATAGATTTTCGGAAATTTTGCTTATTAATCCTTCATCTGGAGTTAATTATTTCACACGCTGTGCGAGTTAAATCTGTTAAAAGCCGCTAAATGCACGCTGCATGTCGTTTGCACCGGAGGAAACGTATCTTGTGAGCGTGAGTTCCGGATGTAGGAGAAACAACGGTGCAGATTAAATAGAAGATGTTTCGCTGTCGCTCCGCGAAACAATGTCAAATTTTACAGACATAATGTGCTAATAAAAACTAAAAATGCACGAATTTGTAGTTTCTAATAATTGGAAAGAATATAAACAACTCGTGTCCATCTTTGAATTTGTGGCATCATCTACTGTCGACTCGTAACATAAAGAGTTTCAGCTAACAATAAATCCCACGCTATTTATGAAAACAATACCTTTGTACTAAATGAAATATTCAGAAAGATACACATTTTCTGCTTTAGATTTTTGTCTTTGACGCTTAAAGTTTTGTTTATTAAGAATTTTCATTTAGAATTACTATTTTATACGCTGCTAGTTAAATTTGCTAAAGCTCTTCAAATGCATGCTGCTGAAGAAAATTATAATACATATTCTCTTTGCGAAGGTGACGTTGTGCAGTAAAAGAGCTCTCGAAAACAAAGACTCTTTCGATGCGTTTCGCATGCAAGCGTAACTCACACATAACCCGTGAGAGTTCTCTCGTTTCGTATTCCTTCGAAATAGCCTTTTCCCGACGACGAAAATCATTTTCTTGGCGCCCGAAACGGCTTGCTCCAATAGGCATACTTCCGTGTTTTACGTCGGAAGGAAATCTCGTGGAGAGAAAGAGAGAGAAAGAGAGAGAGGGGGGGGAGGGAGAAAAGGGTAAGGGTGTAATTTGGAGTATAAACAACGACGGGATGGGGTTGCTAGTCCAGCGTAGCCGACTTCGTGGCT